TGTAATATTTAGGGTTTATGCATCGGTAGAGTAGAAGATCAGGGAGAAGCCTGGTTATCTCAGAGGGTGAATATGCAAGATGGTGTCAGAATTGGTCTGGCCCTGCTGAGTGACAACTGGGTGGAAGATATGACATAATGGTGATGGTCAGATGGTACCAGGAACCAGTGAATTTCCAACAGTGTTTAATGGCAGGTGACACTGGCTACCCCCCATTTCTACCCTCTCTTTCCTATACTTGACATTTTGCTGACTTCCATTTCATCTGTGACGTCCTAGCATTTGGCACCTTCACCTTCGTTATTTTTTGGCATGACCTGTCCCTCTGCACTGCTCCCTGTGCAGTATTCTCCTACATGTACCTGCACATGTGTTATGAGGTGCACAGACATGCTTAAGTGCTCAAACACGTGGTACTTGTTTATTGGATTTACATGGAATAAGACATAACCAGCCTTCCACACAGCTTGCCCCTGTCATCAGCAGACCAGCCCTGCTGAGCACTGTTAACAGGGAACTGAGTGGGGAGCATCTTCTCTTCACATTGTCCTTGCCATGTGTGTGTCATGTTTCTGGTGAGGTCTTCCCTGTTTAGTCACCTTCAGAAGCCAGACCTTCACAGCAGCTTCTTATTAATCCTTCCTGCACATCTCTTATTTTCTGAGAATTGCATAGAACCCATGTATTATGTGCAAAACACTTTACCAATGGAACTTCCCCTGTTACCACCCTCAACAATCAGTTCCTCCTCAATTCTCTCTTTTCAGGTTGTTGGCATAAAACATATGATGAGGAGGTCTTTCCTGAGCGGAGCATATCTGTTCAAGGAGAATCACAGGTCAGGGCTTCTGAGACAGCTCCAGCAACTCAGAGGACCCTTCTGTGTAACCAGTGTGTCTCGGTGTTAAAAAATATTATGCATCTGACTGAGTCACAACGAGCAGACTATGAGCAGAAAGAATTCTTCAGTGATGCATGTTTGAGAGACTTCTGTTTCAATGCAAACCCTCACCAACAGAGGGATTCCACTAGAGAGAAACTCTGGAAAGAAGATATGGACAGGGTCTCGTTTGTGACCAGGTGCAGCTTCTACTTAACTTGGGTGCCTTCAAGCAGTAGGGAGGTTGGGAAAGTATTCCCAGCCATCTCAGAGCTTCTCCAGCACCAGGCCCCTCTCAACACTGAGGACCTAGACAGCGGCAGTGAGATTTCACAGGAATATCTTGGTGGAAAGAGTCTTCAGCAGACTTGTAACTGTGAAAACTTTGGCAGCCAAAACCAGAAAGTTGTTCAGCATCAGGGTGCCTTCTCTGGGGAAGTGAAATATGAGTGTGACAAATGTGGGAAA